GGGGGGGTCTGAGTAAGTAAACTGCTTACGTGTGACAAACGAATGATCAGCTTCTTCCTGTTTCTTTCAAAGTTGCTTTGTCTGAACTCTGCATCTTTTCTCACTGTCTAAAGTATAAAAATGCTTGTAAACTTGTAGAGGTCAGAGTTCCTTTGAGAACCCTCCTTGTGATCACTTAAACCAAGATGGCTCTGCCAGTTCTGATACAACTACAACGCCAAGTTTGATTTCTTCCACCGCTCAAACAAGCTGAACAAGGTACTTGTCCAGCATTGGCATCACACTGGGGGCTCATGTTCATCTTGTGGCCAATCAACATTTCCCAGGACCGAACTCAGACTGACTGGCCTATAATTTGCAGGGTCATCCCTCTCCCTTTCTTAAGGAAGGGTATAACCTTGGCCCTCTTCCAGTCATTTGGGACCATTCCTGAGTTCCACAACTTTTTGAACAGCTTTGCCAGAGGAACTGCTATCCATCTATGGTTCACCTTGCCCTGCTCGAGCTCTAGGGAGGGGGCTGCAGGTAGGAGCTGGCTGCAGGGACATGCAGACCAGACACGAGACAATGCGATGCCCTCTGGCTCCCCACCCCATGCTGCTGATGGGCAGGTGCCTCCCTGACACCCTCATCAGTCACCCAGTCCCCAGGGCCCCACGGCCTCCTGCTTGAACCTGCCTGCTCACACTCACCCCCGTCTGGTTGTGGCGATGCTGCAGCGGGAGCAGGTTCCATGTAAATATCCCCTGCCAGCGCTGCGAGGCCCTGGTTTCCCCTCCCAGAAGTCTGGTCCAGTGGCCCCCTGCACCCAGTCCCCGCACGGCTCCCGTCTCTGCATCTTGCTGTCGTAGCGGAGAATTTGCTGGTCGTTTTTGTAGCCCACAGCAGTGAAGTTGGGCATGTCCGGGCCAGGATCTGACACCCACGTGTAGAAATGCTGGTGGGAGTGTGATGGGTCAGCTCTAGCAGGGCAGATGCCAGTGCCCCCAGTAGTCACTGCCCCCTCCCGGAGGGGCCACAGGGGAAGGACACGGGGCTGCGCCAAGGCGGAGCGGGGGCACAAAGTGAGAGAGCGGTGGGGCCAACAGGAGAGGGCAGAACCGGCTGAGTGCAGGGCAGGGGCCGGGGAGGAGAGATGAGACCGACCCAGCAGGCCACAGTCCTGGCCAGGAGGGTCCACACACCATGTCCCACAGCCCAGTCACACTCCCCTGCACCCTCCGTCCCAGGCACGGGCCCTGCACAGCCCAGGCACTCGACCCACCCTGCTCTGGGGGAGCCCTCATATGCCCAAGTCAGGGCCCACGAGCAGCAGCAGGAACAGCAGCTGGGAGCCTGGTGCCACCTTCGCAGCAGCTTCCTGGGGAGCTTCCAGATTCAACATCTGCACGCAGCAGCCGGTCCTGTGCAGCCGCAGGTGCAACGGGTCATGGCACAGCCTGCAGGGTGCTGCTGGGTCACTGCGCAGTGCGGGGGGAGACGGGGACGTTTGACCTGGGCC